TATTTTTATAGATATATTTAGTGGTTTTTTAGTGCTCTCACTTTCTCCCTCCTAACGACACCTGCAGCTTTTGTCCACCATCTTCTATTCAACCGAATAAAGCTTTTTCACTGTGAGGAAAGGAGAACAGGATACGCAGCTTTCCTGTCCAAAGTTTCTGACATTCTGCCTTTGTTATGATGACACCAATGCTTAAGAAACATCCCTACAGAAAATTTTTACTTTTCAGAGGTGCTCCTTGTATAAACGATGATGAAGCCAGGAAAGAAGTGGATGTCTCCACTGATGAACCTAAGTCTGGATGCTCCAGGCCAGACCCACCAGAAAATGGCTTTATCAGGGTGAGTATGAAAAATAATACAGAAGCGAAGTGAAGCAGTAGCAGAGATGGGAAATTTCACAGCTTCTTTGCTACATGTGCCTGATATCCAAGCTAGCTACTGTGCTAGTCAGCATGCTGCTGTGTATATGGCTTGTTGTGGGACTCTAGTCCATCACGGTACACCAGCAACTGAAGAAAGGTCAGGTGGTCCTTGAATCCTAGTTTTGCAACCATGACATCAGTTAGCGTAACTGGACAAACTAATCATTATATTGGTGAGTGGATGACTCATATTTCAGAGTAGAAAAAGCAAGCATTCATTGCATCTTATCAGAATTTTGCCATTGTTTCTTTTGACAACGTCCAGTCTCGTTACTACAGATTTTTGAGGGGCTTTTTGGCAGGTTGTTTTTGGTGGTTTTGTTGTGTTATGTTGGGTGGTATTGATTACTTTTTTGGGTTTTTTTTGTAGAAAGAAAAGAACCAGTATGCTGTGGGGGAAGAAGCTGAAATTGCCTGTGTGAGTGGTCATGTCCTCACTGGCTATCAATATCTTCGGTGTCTGCCAGATCAAACCTGGACGCAGGAACATGTTGAATGCCAACGTAAGAAAGAGAAAACTCATTTAGCCCAGCAACAAACAGAAGTGGAAGAAAAAGACATAAACAAATACATTAATAGAGGTTTTAACAAAAGAATCTGTATGGGTATCTGAAAAGAGCATTTTCAGAAGGCACTTCAAGTAAAGATGGCAAAAACATCCTGAGTCACTACATCACTCCTCTTTCAATTCAGAAGTGTAACTATTATGTGCTTTGTAAGGTATTGTGATATTCAGTGCATTAGAAAACCCTGAGATGGATGCTGTGAGGTCCTTCTCTTCTCTAGTTTTAAATACCTTTTACAAAAGGACTCATCTTTTGTTTTCAGACTTACATAGATATCTTTAAGTTGATACAGTTAAGAAGCTGCTCTTAGAGAAATTTGTGTACTATTCTTTTAATTAAATGGATGACGTGTCTCTAACCATGAACTCTCAGGCTGCCTTGAAAATCTCCACAATAAATAAATACCTTGAAGTATTTATAGTCCAGTTAAGAATTAAGGATCAAATTAGTCTGTATTTGCTAACAGGAGAAATTTCAGTAGTTTTCTAGAACTTGGTGTGATTTCACTGACTTTTTTTGATTTTAACAAAAAAAAAAGAAAGTGAAAAATTTATGAACTTTCTATTGCCATTCATTTTGTTTCATTTACAAAAGAAAAATTAAAATATGCCGCTAATGCCATTCTTATTATTTTTTAAACTGAAAATTAAGTTACTCATATTGGTCTACATTAGAAACATATTTTAATTATTTAGTTATTGCTTGAAAATTATTCTAAGGACTATGACAGTGCACTGAAAATTTCAAGACTTTATTATGTTAAATTTTTTTTTTTAGTTTTTAATGTAAAATGTTCAGTGCAATCGAGTGTCTTTATATGGCTCTTCAGGTAAAACAGTATGGCTTGCTGTAAATATCCACACACCATAAAACCAACCAGAATTACGCTTTTTTTTTTTATTTTATTGTTAATTACAGCCTCAGCATGCCTCAGGCCACCAATATCTGAGAGTGTCATGATCTCCCCATTTAAGCAACAGTATGACATTGGTGAAACTATGAAGCTGAGCTGCCGAGCTGGGTTTATAGTTACCGGTCACATAAAGTATACCTGTGGGAAAGACCTGTCCTGGATACCTCCTATTTTGAGCTCTATTACATGTGAAAAAGGTCAGTATGCCTTCAGATACTTTACTGTTTCTATGTTGCTGGTATTAACAGCACTGTTTATTTTAGCTAGCTAGAACCAGGAGGCCTATGTCTTGTTTTAAGACATACAGCATCTGTTCATTAGTTTTGGTTTTACTTTGTGCCTACCATGGTGACACATAATTTCAGCCCCAAACTTCTGCATTAAGATCAGAATTTTTGGATGCAATGCATTGTAAACTTTAGTGATGAAACTGAGACAGTAGAACTGCTTTCTTGAAAAAGCAAAAACAAACAAAACAAACGCTGGCAGCATTAACAAGCCTTTATTAAAGCAAGGAGAATGCATTACATTGAAAATTCAGCTTCTCTTCTTGAACAGGATTTTCCTGTGATTTTTGCAGACTGATGGAAATATCTGTCCCAAACATGGCAATTTTTGAAAAGAAATAATTTATAATAGAAATAAATCCATTTTAGCTTTTATGGCAGAAGTCTACAGTATTTCTGTTCACTTTTTACTAGTTATAGTGATTCTCACCCTTTTGTTTCAGATGCACAAACTGTAATTAGAGGTGCTTGCAAGCCAGGACAAAAGCAGATTGGATCTCAATGTGTTTGCATGTCTCCAGAAGAGGACTGTAGGTAAGCTAAGTACTTTAATTAGAAGAAATGTCAAAGTTTCTCTAATTATAAACCAAGAGGTCACTGTGACACAGAACAGGAAGAGTAGCAAAAGACAACTGCAATTCAGGACTACTCTCTCTTCAGCTATTAGCTACCTAATCCTCTGTATTCAAATCACAGCCCCACTTATGGCCTATGAAATAAATGAACAACCACAGACTCACAGAATGGGTCAGGCTGGAAGGGACATCAGTAGGTCATCTGGTCCAAGCTCCCTGCTCAAGCAGAGGGCACAGAATTGCATCCAGATGCTTCTTGAATGTCTCCAGTGAGGGAGACTCCATGACCTCTCTGGGAAATCTGTTCCAGTGTGCCGTCACTCACACAGTAAAGAAGTTCTTTGTCATATTCAGCTGGAACTTACAGACACGGATGAGGTCCCCTCCCAGTTGACTCTTCTTGAGGCTGAACAGGCCCAGTTCCCTCAGGCTTTTCTTGCAAGAGAGATGCTCCAGTGCTTTAATAATTTTTTTTGCCCTGCCCTCCATCCACTCTAGGAACTCAATGTCTTCTCTTGTACTAAGGACCTCAAAACTGCACATAATATGCCAGATGTGGCCTCACTAGGGCTGTGCAGAGGGGCAAAATCACCTCCTGTGACCTACTGGCAATGCTCTTCCTAATGTACCCAATTACATTAATGAAACAACAAACCAGCACATCCTTCTATCTACATTACCATCTGCTACTGGAGATCCTAACTCTTTCTTTTCTTTCCTTTATTTCTCCAGTTTCTTATTTTCACTCTCGACACCTTGCTTTAATACCATGCTCCTTGTGTTTGTGTTTCACCTTCTTCAGATGAACATGCTGCAAAGTACACTGTATGTTTCAGTCTCCACAGCATATAAAAATATGTAAAACTGGGATTTACTATCATTTTACACAACATGACCTGTGTAGACCTTTGAAACTCCAAGGTACAGAGAGTTATCATAGAGGACTTTTAGCAAATGGCTTTACAAGGGTAGATAGAAATAGGACAAGGAGGAACAACTTTAAACCAAAAGAGGAGAGATTTAGATAAAATATTAGGAAGAAATTATTTAATGAGAGGGTGGTGAGGTATTGGAACAGGACACTCAGAGAAGTTGCGCATGCCCCATCCCTGGAAGTCTACAACATCAGGTTGGAGAGGGCCCTAAGCAACCTGATCTAGTGAGTGACATCCCTGCCTATGGAACTAGATGATCCCTAAGGTCCCTTCCAATCCAAGCTATTCTATGATTCTCTCTTTGAGAAATGGCTGAGCTCCATAAAATTATGCTGCTTGGAAATGTATGCACTTTCCGGAAATGTATGCACTTTCTGGGAATAAATACACTTTGTAACCAAGAGCAATCTGGAAAGAGAGCAAGAAGCTACATGCAGCATGGATGCTTTGCCTGCCTTTGATCCCAAGCTAACTGTGCCTCAGAGGCAGACTTGCACACAACAGCTGCAGTGCTGCATCAACTCAGAAAAGCCACCCCAGGGCCTGTGGAAATTTCACATACTTGTAGAGGTAACACAACCTCTTTTCTTGTTGTACAGAGACATGCTCTTCTCTCACCATTGGACAGGACCAAAGCTTCATCATCTCACGACACTTGTAGTATGTATCAGGTCCAGGTCCTGCAGTAGCTGGGACAGCCTTAGGTCTCCAGATGGATATCCAGCCTGGCCATGGCTTTGCTGTGTTTCATCCCATGCTGGTGGACCTTTTAGAAGCACGAACTCATTCCACAGCCTGGAAAAATAATTTGGTTTTTTTTTCCTTTGGGCAGCCACTACTCAGAAGACATCTGTGTGCTAGATGCTGCTTCCGAACAGAATGTGACCAAGCCCAGCTGTCACTATTCAGCTGAAATGTGCCTTGGAGAGCAGCCATTTCATTTCATGCATGCTGGCCCTTGCCATGGTGATTCCAACGTAGACTGGGCTATTGAAAGGGCAAAGCTCTCTGCAAATAGCTTGAGGAAAGTGCCCTGCGGCTATGACACCTGCTATGACTGGGAGGATTGTCCAGGTATGACTTCTGAATGGTGAGATTCTCACCACTCACTGCTCCAAGAGTGGTGGGAGGGGTGTGGAAATGTGGTCTGTCCTGTGTCCCTGATAACAAGCATTACATTTAGATACCTGACTTTTCCCTTTACACACAAGTGGTGCAGAGTTGCCACTTCCCACTAGGAAGACACAAAATGAACTTGGAGATTAAGGGAAGTTTAAACTTTTGCAGGAGAATTAAAATTTGAATCTTTAATCACAAAAATGTAGTTGGTAATTCTATCACCCATTCCCTATGAGGCTACTATAACTGCTAGTTTGTACTTTAGGAATTAATTTGGGCCACACCCTCTATAGCATATAATTAAATGATGACATCAAATCATGATACTACTTCAAAAGCAAGACTGGGGCCATCAGGCTTAATAGGATTTTAATGGTAAAATTTGCAAATACCCATACGTGAAAACTGTTTATTGTGAGTTTTAGTTAACTAGCTAAACCGGTAAAATCTGTAAGAGGATTATTTATAAACACTGTAGTGCACCTTGGCTATTTACATTGTAACTAGGTGACAAGAGCAGTGGGTTTTCCTGTAAATGTCTGAGGTGGTGGCTGGCTCTGCACACATCAAGTTCTTCCCAGGAAAAGGTTGAGTGGCAGCCACACTCATTCCTTCACTTGCTTCCAGAGACAAATATGATCCTTATCACACCTGATCTGCTTAATAAAGCAATAGCAGCGTGCAGCAATCCTAAAACCCTGAATCAAACATGCAAGATTTCTGCAGCATAGGGTTTGAAGTAGGTGGCTGTAAAATTACAACATGAGATCTTGTTCTTTGTGGGACCAAACATGACCAGTTGCGCCCCTTGAGAGACATGCTCTGGTGGAGCCTCTTGGCACCTTGTGCTCCTGGGAAAGTGGTTATAATTTATTTAAAAAATTGGGCTTATTTATTCCAGAGCCTTGAAAAATCCTAGCTCTGCTCCCACTGTGCAAGCATCTTAAAGCTAGGTCCAGTGCCAACACTTCAGTGTTTTTCACTCAAAAGCCTACAGAGGAGCCCTGTTCACAAAACTAAGAGAGAAGGGATAAAAGTACATTAAATGAAATCAGTTTTCATTCCAGTGTCCAAGAGATTTGAACCATCTTCACAGAAGTCCACTTCCTCGTGAGTGTGCACAAACATTAGGAAATTAAAGTTTAGTCCCAAGAGTGAGTAGTTGGTATCAACGCAGAGGCAGAAGATACTGCAATACCATGAAAGCAGCTAAGTGGACAGAACTACACATTTTTCATATGTTTTAAGAAAGTGAAGGCAGAAACTTAGTTTTCTGCCTAGGGAATTTCTGGGAAAGAATATAAAGACTCAGAACCTGATTAGATCAGAAATGGGTAATGAAATAACTGGTAGGACTGAGCTTTACCACAGGCCAGCAGCAGGTAGCTTAGCATTCATAAAGGGAGCTTTAATGAAATAGGAGCTGACACAATATGGGCCTTAAGACTCCATTTCATAGCAACATTGTCTTCAAGGATAATTGGGTACAGAAAGTCAACTTAATATTTTTTGTTTAGAAGAAAGGTCAGGGAAAGCCAGTGGATAAAAATAGTTAGATCAATTCTGCTTCTGTATGGGCCACTGCAAAAACTGTTATTTAGAGCTGATTATCTCTAGTCCTAATACCCTACCATCTAGTGCATGCACTACAGGCTTTTTGTAACTAATACATCGCAAACAGCCAATAGCATCATTCCCTGTTGGACTTTGCAATGTTGTCAAATTGTAAAATCTGGATTTAGTCATCCCATTTACTGCTAAATTTCCACACATTCTTTCTCAGAGACACAGACCGAGTGCTCCTGCCTGATGCCTTACCAGTGCCCCAAAGAAGAAAGCCGCCCTCACTGCATCATTGTAGGGTCGACGGGGAGGAAGAGGACAGTCAGTCATTGCACGCTGGCAGCGATGAAGTGTGCTGGCATCCAGCTGGAGGTGCTGGGGCCGGAGAACTGTCTGGCATAACCCATTGACTGTCCTAGCAGATTGCATCAAGAGAAGGCTGAGCCATCCAGTGACAAACTTGGCTGTTATGAAAGTACAAGTAAATCAATAACGAAGGATGAGAAACAAAGAATACAGCACAACAGATTTTTGAAAGAAGGGTGGCAGTTGGCTTGATTTTCTGTCTGAAAATAACCTGGGGTGTTGGGTATAGGGACTACTATCTCTGCGGGCAACTCTGTGGATGTGCAGAGGGAGGGAAGGGAACAGATGAGAAGGGAGAAAAATAAACATTGTCTCTAGTCTCCCGCAGTCCTGGACTTTTCCTTTCCTCAGCCATTTGTTGCTTTGTTCTTGTGCTTGCGACTGCTGTGCACGCTTGTTTTCTAAGTGTCTGAGTACCTGCTGTGTCATCCAGGCAGACACTTCAGCATCATAGAATCACGAAACATTTGGAATTGGAATGGACCCACAAAGATCATCAAGACTAACTCTTGACCGTGCTTGTGACATCCCCAAGAATCACACCATGTGCCTGAGAGAATTGTCCAAATCCTTCTTGAACTCTGTCAGGCTATGACCACTTCTCTGGGGAGCCTGTTCCAGTGCCCAACAACCCTCTGAGTGAAGAACCTTTTTCTAATATCTATTCTAAACCTAACCTGACACAACTTCAGGCCATTCCCTTGGGTCCTGTCACTGGTTCCCAGAGAAATCAGTGCTTGCCCCTCCACTTCCCCTCTTGAAGAAGTTTTGTACAGCAATGAGGTTTCCCATCAACCTCCTCCAGACTGAACAGACCATGTGACCTCTGACTCTCCTGGTAGCTTCATTGCATAATCATTGCACCTTAATCATTGCAATCATTACATCACTACATCATTACGATCATTACATCACTACATTATTACAGTCATTGCATATTCCTTCTGGTACCAAATGAGGAGTAGCAGGAACCTACCTGTACAGGCTCTCATGGTACAAACTTGGGGAGCAATACAAAATGCTGAGAACCACAAGTATGTGATGACTGAGTGAAGTCTTCAAAATCATGTGATTTTTAGTCGTAACTGAAGGAAGGAGGTGTTTGCTTTCTGTGATTGTTTGCTGAGTTTGAGCTTTAAGCACTGTTGTGGGAATTTTTATAGTACCTCTCGAGGTGAATTAAGCATATGTTTGTACTCAAATATAAAAAAAACCCAAAAGAACAATACATTGGGCAGAGCCCTACAGCAATATGTGGTTCTACTTGGAGTGTTTTTACTTGCAGATATACAAGCAGATTCCTTGTATACGCTTGCCCCAGCACCAATCCTGAGAGCAACGGCATGGGGCACCTCAGCCTGACTGTGGGTCCAAAACCTTTGGGTGCTGCCCAAATGTGTCTCAGCACCTGGGTCCTTGAGGGCTCCTATTACAGCCTACAAGGCATTGCTGAGTCTTTTTCTTATCTCTTCATCACTGAAGACTTCACTGCCATGCAGAGATGTTTCTTCTCAGGAATTTCTACATCCTGCTAGTTTAACCCTTTCTTGTAGTTGAGAAAGCTCCTCTGAGCCAGATCATTCCTTGGTCACAAATCATTCCTTGGTAACTGTAGAGCAGTTACAATTAGAATTTTTCCTTCAACACTCAGAATTTTACAAAACTGAGGAGTACAAACCTGCCTCTCAAGAAGGAGAAAACTCTAACTAGTCAAGGTTTTTCTTCAGGGACTCTCTGCCTTCTAGGGAGTAAACGGCACCTCTGAATTTGCTGTCATCTGCTAACTTACTTAGTATCCTTTCCATTCCTGCGTCCAAGTCGTACATGAAGATGTTGAAGAGTACTGGGCCTAAGATGGAGCCCTGTGGAACCCAGTAGTGACTAGTTGCCAGCCTGATGTAGCCCCATTCACTATAACTCTTTGTTTCCCACCTGTCAGCCAGTTGCTCATCCATCACATGAAGCATGAGAAATGTGCATCAGTGAACAACCTGCCCCATGTGTGTCACACCTTGCCAAGGGCTGGGCAGAGTCACTTGGGAACTGGGAGTGGGCTGGATGTGAAATGGTTGTTTTTCCCTCCAAAGAGGTATCAGACCCCTATATTTGGGATGTTGTCAAGCTCCCTAGAACAGCAGCTAGACTCAATTGGATCGAGCTCAAGAAAAGGAAAAAATTAACCCTGCTGCTAAATACTATAAAGCACTATGCATTCTTGCATAAAATGTGTAATAAAAGTTATTATAAAAGCCTGCTATAGGTTTTTCTTTGTGGTCCTATAGCTCTTTCCTCCAACTGAAGATCTATAATAATATGCCGGTGGTGGTCTAGGAGGCAGTTGCAAATTTTATTGTCTTTACATTGTTTCTTATAGCCCTTATTTCTTCTTGCTGGTTGCATTCTGTGGGGGAAGAATCAGTCATAATGGCTGTGTATGCTATCTGCACAGTCAACAATGAAGATTTCTTGCTTATGACCCTCTAACCTTAATACTAGCTTTCATTACAGGACTGTGATTCCAGTGTGTCTGTATAGCAAAGTTTCTGATAAAAAGAATTTTTCTCCCTGACATTTCTCACCATGATAAATTGCCAGATGAAGTTATTTCCTGGTAAACAGAAGACAGCCAAGTGCTCCCTGACTGCCCCTGTTTCTACTGCTCCTCTGGTTTCAGAGCAGTCATGCGCAGTGTGAATGTTCACGTTAAGACATGCATTGGTCTCTCTTGCTGATGGAGATAACTCCTGTAGTTTCTGGTTCACAGCTGAGCATTGTGGCACAGAATGGAGACACAGTCTGATTCTGCCATAAACTGAATCCAAAAAAAATCATCAGCTTGCTGAAATTAGTGGGAGTTTTACTGTTGGCTTCGGTAGGGTCTGGACTGCACTTGTAAGAACTTTGGATTTGCTGCTGTGCCCTGTCACAGGGGTCCCCAACCCTCACATCAAAGACTGCAGTTCTTTAATATTTCCTGCAACATCTAGCATTTTCTTAGATGTGATAACTTATATTAGCTAATGATAGTTTTCTTGTTCACTGTGGGCAGGAAATGCCATTGCTCCTTTGCCATTGCAATCTCCAAGTAATGTACCTGCTTGATGGATCATTGCCTTGGGTCATAAATTACCATTGGGGAAGATGAAGCAAACCTGAAGTGTCAGGGTAACCAAGGTCACAGAGACCTTACCAGTTCTCATAGGACAGCTTTTTTTGGTAATGCAGCTTCTCTACTGCACAGAAAAATCCGATCTATTTGTTCTTAACATTAGAGAGGTAACATTATCCATAATGAGCCTTTCCACGGATACAAACTTCCATACAACATTTCAGCATATCTAATTTTCACTAGCACAAGTGTATGTGAAATGTATATAGAATACACATACCACAGTGAGACAGATGGGGCATGATTCAATGGCTGGACAGTAAGTAGCTGCTGTTGTGGGCTTCTCACCATGGCTTCTGTATAAATAGTTATTGCAATGTAGAATGCAAAATTTGAGCAAATGTTGACAAGAACTGAATATATATATATATATAATGTCTGTTATAATGTTTATCCTTATTCAACCTCAGAAATGAATAATTCAGGGTTTTCTTCCAGGGTTTGAAGATAAGGTAGATATACAGGTTTAAATATCAGTTGCCAAACTTCTGCTGATAAGCTACTGCTTAGCTATAGCAACTACTGTTTTCTGTTACAGCTTTAGAAATATCTTGTATTAAATGTTTGAGCCCTGATGTCTTTATTTTGGATGCTGTGCAAGAGGTATTTGTCTTTTGATTTAAGATTTTGGTACAAAATAAAGCTGTGACTATTAAATGCAAAACTGCTAGTAGCAGTAGCACAGTAGAAGACGGGTACCAGTGCTTTTGCTAGTAACACTTTCCCAGTGAGTGAGAGACCATGTTACCCAGGTTTTTTTCCAAGTAGGTTTCTGCAGAGCAAACTGCCATCCAATGCAGTCTTGGTTTTGCACTCTAGGGATGCATCTCCAGCAGCAGTATAATTGTTGCATTCATGACAGCTCCAGCTCAATGCATTCAGTTATGTATTCAGAGGAGGAAGTCCATCATGTTTCTCTTCACCCAGAGGTCTTTGAGCAGTAGGCTTTGACTATTTGTTTCAGGAAAGAGAGACTTCAACAGTATCTGTAACAGAACTGACTCAGCTTTGCTGATGGAGGGTTATACGATAAAGATGCTAAAATAACATTGCTTATAAATCAAAACTTAACAATATCACATGCACACACGCACACACACACACTCTCAGAGAAGTCTATTTTACTATAAAGGGTCTTTCAATGTGCTCTCAAGGCAGTGTTTATATGTGGGTAGGTGTGAAGATTTCCAACACAGAGGGCAAGCTGATGTTCCTTCCTTGATTACTGGGAGCGAGATGCCCCTAAAAGTATATGGCTGCACCTAAGACAATCATCTTTGGCTGTCCTTTTGGTCAATTGAGGAGAGAAACATTCCCTTAGAGGGCAGAATTTCTGATTTCTTCCTACCTTTCTTAGGTAAACATCTAAAAACAGGCTGGGTAAGTCATGTCCTGAAGGTGCCTGTCTTCCTGTGTTGACTGTGCAAGGGAGGCAGGGGGGTGACTAAGACAAATACAAATATTTGTGCTAGAGGTGTTTAAAATTGAATAAAATGAAACCTGCTTCTTTTA